CATCATTTTTCATCATTCTTCCCTTTTCTTAATTCTATTGTTGGAAATAATAAATTAACTGTAAGTTCCCCAAAATTAAATTCCGAGAAAATTTAAATAAACGGCCGAATTTTTTTTGTTTCTTTTCTCTCTTTATCATTTTTAATCTTTTTCTATGTTTTTAATTTCATTGTCGGGAACACAAAATAACAAGGGTATTCCCCTTTGAATTAAATGCCGTAAAAAATAAAGAAATTAAGGGATATTATGTTTTTCCCTTCTCCCCTACTGGTCGTAATCCCTTTTCCCCATCTTTAATTATGGTACTAAAATGGACAAAAATTTGAGGCCTCATTTCGGCCCCGGTCGTATGCCGCAAAAAAAATGTGGCTGCGAGGTCAGTTCCCGCGATGCCTCTTCGCGGCAGGCCAATCCGGGTCTAACCCTCTGGACGGCCGGAAATGACGGTCCGTTGATGTGCCGAGTGTGACCACCCATCCCGCCATCTTTGAGGGTTACCCGTAAGGTTCAGCGCGCCCAAAATCAAGGGCGCCCTGAGCTCCCCTAATTTCCGCTGCCTGGTCTAACCTGAGTACCGTCAAAACTCAGACTCGTTTTTGCGCCTAAGTCCCAAAACCGTAGATTTCAGGCGGCGCACTGCTTGTGGCCGCCTGACAACGTGGCATGCACACGGCACCCATGAAATGCTCCTGATCGCAGGGTCGTCATGGTTTTCCAATATCTTCTTCGCGGAAATGTTGACCTGTGCCGAGTCCGTGCAGATCACGTTCACCCTGTGCACCCCCAACTCTCGTATCACCTCCACCCACATCCTTGCCAAAGCAGGAGCCGACTTGTCCTTCCCCTCCATGTCCACACTACGCACCATGACAGCCCCCGAATCGCCGGCTGCGATGAAGTTAATGACCGGCCTATTGCTGGTCGTCGTCGTGCCGTCCGTCATCAAGGTCAGGCCAGTGACATCCCATGGCTCGCGGATCTTGTCAAGATCCTTATCCACGTCTTTGTATTTGGACGGCAAAGCCTTCGTTGTCAAGTGATTGTATCCAGGCATCCACAGCATCTTCCTCGATCTCGCCGCCGAGTTCATGATCCTTTTCATGTTCTTATACGAGTCTGAGCGCGCGACGTTGAAGGCGATGGCATTCTCAAAGAAGAAGGAAGCAACCGCCTGGTCGAACTCCCTCTGCAGCTCATCCACTATGAAATTCTTCAAGGACGATTGTTGTGCACTCGATGGAGGTCGTGGTGGGCGAGCCGCAGCCAAAACAGGACCCCGTAGGTGCTCAGCGATCTCTTCCGGGATGTCGGGCCCCCTGGAACTCCGAGCGCCCCTGCCAACAACCGATGCCGAATCAAAACCCAGAGCGCTGCCTTCTCCCACCGTCGAACCCGTGTCCCGCCCTCCATCTGCCGCAGTCGACGACGTACCGACCTCCCCCGACACACAAGCCACATCAACGGGAGCAAGATCCTGCGCATCCACAACAACCGGCGGACGACCCTGTTCCTTGTAGTAGTCGTTCAATTTCGCCAGCGACGCAGGAAGCAATGGCACTTTCGGGTGGTCGCTGCGAATGACAGCAAGAATTTCACCGGTGGTATGCGGACAGCGGGCATTGACCGACGGTTGTGTGAGGTGTTTCACGACTTTGGACAACGTGCCGATGAACTCCTTGTTGCAGAGCCTGCAACGCAACCTCCATGAGCTGTGTGATGTTCCCGTCATCACCTTCTGGCCTCTGTCTGCCCATTTCCACAGCTCCGATTGGCTGAGCATCCTTTCTCTATCTGCACCGGTCTCAGGCTCGAATGGCACTCGATTGCCCGCCATGGTCATCGCACCGGAGGTGGGTGATGGAGAGAAGATGGGGATGAGGAAGAAGAGGATGGAAAAAAGATGGGGAAGAAGAAGAAGAAGAAGAAGAAGAAGAAGATGGAGAGAAGAAGAAGAAGATGGAGAGAAGAAGAAGAAGAAGATAAGATGGAGAAGAAGT